TGGAGGGAGGTGAAGGATAAAAAATACCAGCTGTTGGGTACAATGCACACTACTCAAGTGACAGATACACTTAAAGCCCAGAATTCACTACTATACAATTCACCCATGTAACCAAAAACCATTTGTATCCCTAAAGCTATTGAAATATAAATAAATTAATGAGAGATTAAACAGATGACCTACAGAATTGAAGAAAATATTTTCAAACTATCTCATAATGGTCTCATATCTGTAATCTATAAGGAACTTACATGATTCAACAAGCAAAAACCAAATAACCAAATTAAAAAGTGGGCAAATGATATGAACAGACACTTCTCAAAAGAAGACATACGGTTGGGCGCAGTGGCTCATGCCTGTAATCCCAGCACTTTGTGAGGCTAAGGCAAGTAGATCACGAGGTCAGGAGTTTGAGACCAGCCTGGCCAATATGGTGAAACCCCATATCTCCTAAAAATACAAAAGTTAGCCGGGCATGGTGGCATGCTCCTATAGTCCCAGCTACTTGGGAGGCTGAGGCAGAAGAATCGCTTGAACCCAGGAAGTGGAGGTTGCAGTGAGCTGAGATTGTACCATTGCACTCCAGCCTGGGTAATAGAGCAAGACTCTGTCTCAAAAAAAAAAAAAAAAAAAAAAAAAAAAAAAAAAAAAAAAAAAGGATACATATGGCCAACAATCATATGAAAAAAAGCTCAACATCACTGATCATTAGAGAAAAATCAAAACCACAATGAGATACCATCTCACACCAGTCAGAATGGCTATTACTAAAAAGTCAAATAACAGATGCTGGCAAGGCTGTGGAAAAAAGGGAATGTTTATACACTGCTGATGGGAATGTAAATTAGTTCAGCCACAGTGGAAAGCAGCTTAAAGATTTATCAAAGAACTAAAACAAACTACCATTCGACCCAGCAAACCCATTACTGGGTATCTACCCAAAGGAAAATTAATCATTTTACCAAAAAGATACTGCACTTGTATATTCACGATAGTACTATCTACAATAGCAAAGACATGAAATCAACCTAAGTATCCATCAACAGAGGATTGGATAAATAAAATGTGGTATGTATATACCTACATCAAATACTATGCTGCCATAAAAAAGAATGAAATCATGTCCTTTGCAGCAACATGGATGCAGCTGGAGACTGTTATCGTACGTGAATTAACGCAGAAACAGAAAACAAAATACCACATGTTCTCACTTATAAGTGGGAGCTAAATAGTGGGTACACATGGACACAATGAAGGGAACAATAGACACTGGGACCCACTGGAGTGGGCAGGAAGGAAGGGAGGCAAGGGTTGAAAAACTACCTATTGGCTACTATGCTCACTACCTGGTGATGGGATCATTCATACTTAAAACCAGAGCATCATGCATATACCCATGTAACAAACATGCACATGTAACCACTGAATTGAAAATAAAAGTTGAAATTATAAAAAATGGAACCTGAGGCTTAGATTGGTCAAGTCACTTGCCCAATGTTACCAAGATTTTAAGCAGATGTTTTGACACCTTCTCTACTAGTGTTTCAGCATGTCAAAAGGACAAGAACAAAGTCTCAACATTTTCTGGTTTCCTTCACAACATTACATCACATCTCATTCATAATATGTGTTCGATTAATTTTGCCAGTTAATTAAAAAGTGTATGACACTTGAACATTGGGTAATTTTAGAAGTATTCTAGATCAGAATTTGAACATTTCAACAGTAAGGAGAAAGGAATAAACTCACGATGAACACGAATCTTAGTTTCTACTTCTTTTTTTTTTCTTTGCCAGCCTTCTGATATTGGTTAGAAAGTTTTAATTAGCAGGAACATGGCCACAAAACAAACAATATGATGGTAACAGTGAAGAATAATTCATTGGAGGTACTGTGCTGTAAATAACTGAGAATTGACTACAAAGAAGAAAGTATTTCTTTAAAACCTGTCCTTTGGGATAAGAATTCTCAAATCACTTTGTTTTTCTTGTAAAGATCAGAGGTAAACTGCTATTTTCATCACATTATATCAAGGATACAAACTATCAATGTGGCTTGTCTGTTGATATTGACTTTGATCATGTGTTTTGAGGTAGTGTTTGCCAGGTTTCTCTACTGCAAAGTTACTCATCCCCATACAAACTGTCATACTCTACTCTTTAGAAGCAAGTCATTAAGTACAGCTCATACTCTAAGCTTAAGAACTGAAGCTCCATCAGCTTGAGTGGGAAAGATCTACATACACTATTTGGAATTCCTCTGTAATGGGAGATTTACCTCTTTTCCTCCATTTATTTATTTAGTCATTTGTTTCCCTATGGACTCATCTATTTTATACTTTGTGTTATAATCTAATACTGCAATACAGACAAACCTCAGCTTATGACCATTTGGCTTACTTACAAATTTTCAAGTTTATGGTGGGTTTATTGGGATGTAATTGCATGGTAAGCTGAGGAGCATCTGGACTTATGGTTTGACTTATGATTTTTTGACTTTATGATGGGTTTGTTGGGGTATTAAATGCCTTTTCAACTTATAATATTTCTAACTTATGATGGGTTTATCAAGTCATAGCCCCATCAGAAGGTGAGGAATATCTATATTTTATTGCTGGAATTTTTCCAAATTTGGCAATCTTTCAGGATGACTCCTCTATCCCTTTGCCATGCCCTCATTTTTTTTTTTTTTTAAATTCCTTACTTTCCGGTACTATGAGATTCTCCGGGTCCATCTCATATTTCCCCTGTCCTGGTCGTAGAATCAGTTATTTCTCCAAGGAGCTCTAGTTCCTTTTATTGGAGAATGATATTAGAATCCAAGGTCTTAGCACTGGGTGTGCTAGTTGCTACTAGGGTACTATTGCTTCCAGGCCCTCTCAGGACACAGGGCTAGGAACTATACATATATACTGCCTCATGTATATACACATGTGTAATTATTTTTGTATCTATTCACTTCTGTCAATATTAAGTTAAACGTGAGTACATACTGATGTCTCTGAATCGAATCCAGTACCACATAGTTCATCCTAGCCTTCTTTTCTTGATTATTTGTACTTCCCACCTATAGATCATTTACTTATTTTTTCAGTCTTAGTATACATGTATGGCTGTTTCAGAATTGTCTACACATATCTCCTTGAGAAACAACTTTGCCAATTAGAGTGTAATGTTTATGTATAGTTTCTTTATATTTTGTTTTATATTTTCCAGAAGAAACACTGTTTCACAAAGTTACTTTGAGACTATATGGTCTTTTAAAGTTTGGTAGAATTTCCCTGTGAAACTCTCTTCTTTGATACTTTTTAAAAAATGTTCTCTGTTTCTTCTATGAATATTGATCTCTTTAATTTTTATATCTCTAATAAAGTTGTTTGTGGTAATCATTACTTTCCTAGGAAATTATCTCTATTATCTAGATTTTCAAATTTATTTGCACAGAGGTGTGCAAAGTAGTCTCTTATAAAGTCTTAAATTTCTTCCAATAGTTATTTCCCCATTCTTTATTTTGCATATTTTTGCTTTCTCTGTTTTATTTTGATTAATGTAGCTAGTGGGTTGTCTATATTATCAATCTTTTAAAAAATAAGGATTTTGATTCATTAACTAGGTGTATGCTATTTCGATTCTCTTTTGTTAATTCTTACTTTTTTTTGTTAATTTCTTGTGTTCTTTTACTTAATTTGTTGTACTTATAAGTTTCTTTTTGTTTTTTGCTGGTGCTCTACCAACATCCCTTTGGACATTTTTTTAAAGTTGTATTAAAAACACATAGCTTAAAACTCATCATCTTAACTATTTTGAAGCAGAGAGTTGAGAAGTGTTAAGTATATTCACATTGTTGTGCACATTTAAAAAATTTTTGTTAGCTCAATATTTAATCAATTTATTTTCAATCTTTTATTTTTACTAATAGCAGTGTTTAGTGTTATAAAATTTCCTCTGATCACTGCTTTATATTTATCCCATGGATTCTGATATGAAGTGTTTACATCATCATTATTTGTTTTAGAGGTACTGTAGTTTTGGTTTATATTTTTCCTTTAAACCAAGAGTTGTTTAATTGAAGGTTTTTAAAATTTATTTTTAAATGTATAATGGGCACATAATTGTACATATATATGGGATACAATGTGGTGTTTCAATGCATGTATACACAGTATAATGATCAAATAGGTGTGATGACCATATCCATCACAATAAACATTTGTTATTTCTTTGTGGTGACAACACTTAAAATCTACTTTTCTAGCTATCTTGAAATATATGCTACATTATTATTTGCTATAGTCACCCAAATGTGGTGAATACCAAAATTTATTCTTCCTAAGTGTAACTTTATACCCATTGACCAACATCTTTCAGTGCCTCTGCCTTCTTTCTCTGCCCAGCCCCTGGTAACCACGATTCTACCCTCTACTTGTGTGACATCAACTTTTTAAAATTCCACATATGAGTGAGATCATGTGGTGTTTGTCTTTCTGTGCCTGGCTTATTTCATTTAACATTTCAAATGTATTCTATCAATTGTAACTTGCTAGTATATTGCATGTATTCTGAAATATGCTGATGAGAGGATGTATCTCAAAGGTTATCAACATGATTGCATTTCTCTGCCACCTAACCATACACTATACATTTATCTTGACTCTGTGGTTTTCAAGGACAGTACTTTCAACTTGCTCATTGCCTTACTTTTCTTTGAACCTATTAAAACACTACTTCATTTAAATTTTATCTAAACTCCACCCTTCCACCAAAACCTAAAATAACCCCATATTTTCCTTTTTAGATGCTGCACTTATGCTTGTGTTTCTCCTTTGAGGGAGCAGTAGTTTAGTTCAGCTTTTGTTTCCAGATTTGAATGATTTAAGAGTACTTTAGCAAGTGAATCTGAATATGTATAGTAATGTAACATTTTAACTTTTGTAGAAAGTTTTGTAATTATCTAAGGACTGTTTACCTTATCCTTTTATGGATAACAACAAGACCTTTTGGTCAGTCACATTTCTTATTTTCCTTTTCATTTTTATGAATAAAAGATTCAGTTGACTTCATTTCTGGTTTTTTAAAATTATGTTTTATTTAATGAGTGCTTCTTCATTTAAAAATAATATAATCTGGTCACAAAGGCTACATTCTCATCTCTGGCCATGAGATGGTCATAGTTCTAGGCGTCAAATGCTGTTCTATGACCAATTGATCTTGATCTCTTCCTAGAGCTGATTTTAAAAATCATTCTTTTAGAATCTGCCTCTCTGATATGCTCACTCTCTGAATTTGTTATTTGTATCAGAAATAAACTCATGTATATATTAAACTAGCAAAAATGTGGAATTATTTTAACAATTTGTATGGAAATGTTTCTAAGGACCAGGGTGAGATTGTACCTCTACTTATGACATTTATAACTGCAGACATCTGTTTAGCTTATATGTATGCATTCCAGGAATTCAAGCAAAGGGCAAAAGATCGTGATGCTTTCCATGTCATTCAGGATTGCAGTGGTTTGCCATACAAATAAAGCAAATTAAGTAAAAGTGGGAAGACCTGTAAAATACAGTGGACAGATCGTTTATGGCTAACAGAAAATACAGAGTTCCTTTCCATAAGAGAGTTGGACAGAAGAAACAGTATTTTTCATATTCTTATTTGCAGAAACTTTTCTAATATGTCATTAAGTAAAATCTGATCACAAATACAGCCTTTTCTCCTGTAAGAGCTGTCCTAACTCTTCTGTTTAGCTACACTTGCATAAGTATTTTCAATTTCTTTGTCTTCAGGACACGTGTGGGTAAATTCTTCACGGGCATAGGCATTGTGGAGATAACGCCAGACTCCTGAGAATTCTGCTGGAATGTCAAAGTCACGATATTTCTTGGCAGCAACCTAGAATTTTGCAAAAAAAAAGAGGAAAAAGAAAGGCATCAGTAATATGTCTACTATGTAGAAATATATCTTAGAAGTCAAGATTATCAAAGGCATCTTATCGACACAAAAAGCACTATAAAATAAACTATGAAGTAGACTCGAATCTTGGACTATTTTGATGTTTTGTCTACAAATGTTGACAAAACCATATGCTTACAATCATGTTTATATTGATTCCATATTTAATTATGACTATATTTAGTGGAAGGAAGCACAGAAAATGAGCACATATCCACCACCACTAGACTAAGAGTTTATTTAGAGTCCTATGTCTTATTTCTTTATGTATTCTCTGTGTTTGGCATAGGACTCAGAGAGTAAATTCTGCATAAGTCTGTGCAATAAATATTTGTTAAATTTATGATTAATTCATCATAATATGAATAGCCCAAATTGGTTATTCCCTATTATGATCTAGGCACTGTTCTAAGCATTTTAAATGCTTTAATTTATTTAATTCTCTTAACAATTCTGTAAATTAGGTAATATTATTATCCTTTATAAAATAAAGACAAGACAGTGGAAAATACCTTCTGATTTAGAAAGAAAGAAACAAGTTTTGCCCGGGCGCGGTGGCTCATGCCTGTAATTCTAGCACTTTGGGAGGCCAAGGCAGGCGGATCACTTGAGCCCAGGAGTTCAAGACCAGCCTGCGCAACATGGTGAAACCCTGTCTCTACAAAAAGTACAAAAAATTAGCCGGGCGTAGTGGCATGCACCTGTAGTCTCAGCTACTCAAGAGGCTGGGGTGGGAAGACTGCTTGAGCCTTGGAGGTGGGGGTTGCAATAAGCCTTGATCATGCCACTGCACTCCAACCTGGGTGACAGAGCAAGATCCTATCTCAAAAAAGAAAAAAAAAAAAAAAAGAAACAAGTTTTAATACTTCCCAGAAGAGATCATTATGGATTTTCCGTCTAAAGAGAAAAAAGAGATGTAGATACTACACATGATGATGATGATGATAATGACAAAGCTATAATATAATAATACTGCACTGGAAGGTCACTGTGTTTTGTGCTGGCAACTGGCAAACCCCTCCCACCCATTCAGCCTGCCCTATAAAGACTTACTTTAATAATGTTCAGCTTGGGTAACAAGCTACAATCAGCCAGTGTTAGCTGATCCCCATCCAAGAATAGTCTTCTGGAAACTGTGGGTTCCTCAGCACTGTCTGGATCAATTTCATCCAGAAGTGGGGTGTTTAAGTAGTCATCCAGACGCTTGAATTCTTTGAGCAGAGATTTTTCAAAATCTGAGGCAATGAAGGACTTGTAAATGTATTGTCTTTTGACTAAATACAGTCTAAATATGCTTTCCTTACATTTAGACACCTCTATCTATACATACTGCTTACACTGGCTCTTCAACATCTAGTTAACTATTTAGAATGCTCAACTACTCACTGATACGACAAAGTAAGATCAAATAGTGAGTGTAAATCTTTTGGGCTTTTCTTAGGGAGTTGCATTGTCAGGAGAGTAAAAGAAAGAAAAGTGATACATGTTATCCAACTCAGAAGAGTTAGAAAGTGAAAGAAAAAACACAGTTCTTGTGACTCAGAGGACAATAAACCTATTTAAGAATGTTCATGGGAAATGGTAGGTGCTACAGTTTAAGAAACCTTAAAGGTACACCGTCTTGCAGTTAGTTCACACCTGGTAATTGCTATATTGAATTTTGAGTTCTAAATCTAATAAAACTTCATGCAAGGGAATTTCAGAGGAGAGAACAGACAATGAGGGGAAGACTAGGCTAGTCCCCCAAATATACTATATATTCAGGAAAATTCTATTTTTGCTGAGTGAGAGTATGAAAAGTGAGGAAAAATAGAGATTTAAAGAAAGGTATCTTACTCTTATTTGCCTCCTTTTGTGTATTCTTAATGTATGCAGAAAACTTGGCAAAGAGGTTACAGCCCACATCAAAAGACTCCTTGTACTTGGGACTCAGGTGAGGGTACCTTAAAAAGAAACACGAGTCAACTATCATTTGCACATAACATGACAGAGACCAGGTGCCCTAGCTTGCACTATACTGAAAATGGAAGTTCTGGAAAATTGCGCTGGAAACTAAACACCCTTAGAAGTCTCTCAGTAGAAGTTTATATTTTTTTCCAATCTCAGAACACTTTAGTTTCTAAAGTTCACAGGGAAATCAGTTGTCTGGAATCCAAAGCTCATTTATCTGTTTCAGCTGGGCGCAGTGGCTCACGCCTGTAATCCCAGCACTTTGGGAGGCTCAGGTGGCTGGATCACCTGAGGTCAGGAGTTTGAGACCAGCCTGGCTCACATGGTGAAACCCCGCCTCTACTAAAAACACAAACATTAGCTGGGCGTGGTAGTGGGCGCCTGTAGTCCCAGCTACTCAGGGGGCTGAGGTAGGAGAACTGCTTGAAGCTGGCAGGTGGAGGTTGCAGTGAGCTGAGATCGCGCCATTGCACTCCAGCCTGGGGGACAAAAGTGAAACTCAGTCTCAATAAAAAAGAAAAGAAAAAGAAAAATATGATTTCAAATATTGCAACTTATAAAACAAATGATGGAATAAATTGGATGGAGAAAATGGGAAAAAAGGAGCCAAGATATCCTCTCTTAGTAATACAAAGCTCAGTTAGCATAATTAAATAAAATAATGTAATAATATAATTCACCACACTAACAAATCCAATAAGAAAACCCAGATGATAATGACTAGATGTGGAAAAGTATTCAAGAAAAAATCAGCACCTCATGGAGATATCTGTGCTCCCATGTTCACTGCAGCATTACTCACAAAAGTCAACATATAGAAACAACCTAAGTTCCCATCAATACATGAATGGATATAGAAATTGTGATATATATATGTATACTAGAATATGAATCAGCCTTAAAAATAATGAAATCCTGTCATTTGCAACAACATGGATGAACCTGGATGACATTGTGGTAAGTGAAATAAGCCAGGCACAGAAAGACAAATACTCTATGATCTCACTTTAAAAGGTCAAATATATAGAAAAAAAGAATAGAGCAGTGATTACCACGGACAGTGGGGGGAGGAAATAGGGAGATGTAGGTCGAAGGGTACAAAGTTGCAGTTATGTAGAATGAGTAAGTCTAGAGATGTAATGTATAATATGAAGACTAATAATATTGCATACTGAATATTTGCAAAGGATAGATTTTAGGTGCTCTTACCATATAAAAAGGGTAACTATATGAAGCGATGGATATGTTAATTTGCTTGACTGTAGTAATCATTGCACTATGTATATGTATATCAAGACATCATGTGATATACCTTAAATATATACAATACAAACAAAGACTAAAACACTCAATTCCTTTTCATAACACAAAAAACTCACTGCAAGCTAGAAATGGTCAGGTCAAAAACTTAGGTATCTAACCTGATTCCTCTCTTTCCCTCTAACTTGACATTTGATCTATCAGCAACTCTGGTCAGCTTACCTTTCAAAATGTATCCAGAATCTGTCCACCTCCCCTGCCCCTGCCCAGTCCAAAGCCTATATTACTGTAACATCCTCCTGACTATTATCCCTACTCCCATACTTGTCCCTCATACACCTTGAATATTCTCCACCCATAGACAGAGCAATCATGTTAAAATGTAAGTCATATCATGTCTTTCCCCTACTCATTATCCTGCAATGTCCTCATCTCAGAGTTAGAGCCCAAGTACTCATAGTGGTCTACAAGAACCCACATGATATGAGCCACCTTCTTTCCCACCCAGTCTATTAACCACCCAGAAGCCAGAGTGATGGCTTTCCCCTACTCAGTACTCTGCAATTGTCTTATCTTATTGAGTCACAGCCTAATTCATTACAGTAGCCTATAAGGACCCACATGATGTGATCCCACCTTACCTCTCTTCTCTCATATCCCTCACTCGCTCAATTATGACACAGACTTTCTTGCTATCATTCAAATAGGCCTGGAACGCTCCTGCCCCAGAGCCTTTTAACTTGGTCTGCCCTTAGATGAGGGGGACATATGCATTTTCTCTCACATATGTGCATGCCTTGCTCCCACTTTTCCTTCACGTCTTTTTCATGGGTATCTCTTTCTAAGTGAAGCCTTTCTCTGGATGCTCAATGTCACACTGCAACGTCACTCCTTTCCATAATATCACTACTTCTCTCTTTTGCTTTATTTTTCTCTTTAGCAGGACAGTTTTAAATTACCTGTGTTATGCCTTCCCCAACCCCAGGCAACACAGTATGGAGAGAGATGCCCTTTCTTTGGGAGAAGAAGTAAGTGAACACCAGACTTTGCCTTAGACCCAAACACTGAGCCCAACACAGTAAAGTCTAGCCCTGGACAGGCCATGATTACCCCAGACTTTAGGCTGGTCCCCACAAACTTGGGCACTAGGCCAGCCCTTGCAGCCCCAATGTCCAGGCCATCCCTGCAGATGTAGTCTCCCATCCTTGGGCCAGTAGCCCCAGACTCCAGACTTCCTTCAGCAGCAGGTCATACCTCCAGGCTTGCACCCCTCCAAGACAGCCCCTTCACTTCAGGACAGCCACTGTACCCCCAGATTCAGCTTTCAGGCCCTCTCCATCACAAGACTAGCATGCTTGGACCCCAGTTTAAGGCAAATACCCACAGACCCAGTATCCAGACCAACTCAGCTCTAGGCTGGCCTTCACACTCCCAGGCTTTGAGTCTGTCCCAGTGCCACATTGACACCCATGGACCTCAGCTCCAGGCTGGCCCCCATGGCCTCAGGTACCAGGTCAGCACCCAAAGATTCAGCCTCCAATATAGCCCTTATGGGCACAGACTCCAGGCCATCCCTGGTGGCCCCAGATTTCAGGCTGGCCCATTCAAGCTCAGGCTTCAGGCCCAGACCAGGCTCCAACCCAGCCCAAAAAAGGCTGGCCCACACAGCCCTAGGCTTCAGGTCCAACCCAGTACTAAGCTGGCCTCTTCAACCCCAGACTTTGAGCAACAGTAGCAGAATACACATTATTTTCAAGTGCATACAGAATATTCACCAGGATAGATCATATGTTAGGCCACAAAACAATTCTTAACCACTTAAGAAGATTGAAACTATATCAATTATTTTTTCCAACCACAATGAACATCCTTGTCTTGTTTCTGATCTTAAGGGGAAAAACTTCAGTCCTTCACTATTGAGTACAATGTCAGCTGTGGGTTTTTCTTTTTTGTTGTTGTTTTATTGGGTATTTTATTATGTCAGGAAATGTGCTAAGTGCTATAAATGCATGATCATATTTCATCTGTGCAATGTATTTTTTTCATTTCTTTTTTTTATTATACTTTAAGTTCTAGGGTACATGTGCACAACATGCAGGTTTGTTACATATGTACACATGTGCCATGTTGGTGTGCTACACCCATTAACTCATCATTTACATTAGGTATATCTCTTAATGCTATCCCTCCCCCTTCACCCCACCCCACAACAGGCCCCCGTGTGTGGTGTTCCCCTTCCTGTGTCCAAGTGTTCTCCTTGTTCAATTCCCACCTATGAGTGAGAACACGCAGTGTTTGGTTTTTTGTCCTTGTGATAGTTTGCTGAGAATGATGGTTTCCAGCTGCATTCATGTCCCTACAAAGGGCATGAACTCATCCTTTTTTATGGCTGCATAGTATTCCATGGTGTATATGTGCCACATTTTCTTAATCCAGTCTATCATTGATGGACATTTGGGTTGGTTCCAAGTCTTTGCTATTGTGAAGAGTGCCACCATAAACATACGTGTGCATGTTTCTTTATAGCAGCATGATTTATAATCCTTTGGGTATATACCCAGTAATGGGATGGCTGGGTCAAATGGTATTTCTAGTTCTAGATCCTTGAGGAATCACCACACTGTCTTCCACAATGGTTGAACTAGTTTACAGTCCCACCAACAGTGTAAAAGTATTCCTATTTCTGAACATCCTCTCCAGCACCTGTTGTTTCCTGACTTTTTAATGATTGCCATTCTAACTGGTATGAGATGGTATCTCATTGTAGTTTTGATTTGCATTTCTCTGATGGTGAGTGATGATGAGCATTTTTTCATGTGTCTGTTGGCTGCATAAATGTCTTCATTTGAGAAGTGTCTGTTATATCCTTTGCCCACTTTTTGATGGGGTTGTTTGATTTTTTCTTGTAAATTTGTTTGAGTTCTTTGTAGATTCTGGATATTAGCCCTTTGTCAGATGGGTAGATTGTAAAAATTTTCTCCCATTCTGTAGGTTGCCTCTTCACTCTGATGGTAGTTTCTTTTGCTGTGCAGAAGCTCTTTAGTTTAATTAGATCTGGTTTGTCAATTTTGGCTTTTGTTGACATTGCTTTTGGTGTTTTAGTCATGAAGTTCTTGCCCATGCCTATGTTCTGAATGGTATTGCCTAGGGTTTTTCTTTTCTTCTAGGGTTTTTATGGTTTTAGTTCTAATATTTAAGTCTTTAATCATCTTGAATTAATTTTTGTATTAATTAATTAATTAGGTGTAAGGAAGAGATCCAGTTTCAGCTTTCTACATATGGCTATCCAGTTTTCCTAGCACCACTTATTAAATAGGGAATCCTTTCCCCATTTCTTGTTTTTGTCAGGTTTGTCAAAGATCAGATGGTTGTAGATGTGTGGTATTATTTCTGAGGGCTCTGTTCTGTTCCATTGGTCTATAGCTCTGTTTTGGTACCAGCACCATGCTGTTTTGGTTACTGTAGCCTTGTAGTATAGTTTGAAGTCAGGTAGCATGATGCTTCTGGCTTTGTTCTTTTGACTTAGGATTGTCTTGGCAATGCAGGCTTTTCATATATGGCCTTTATCAGATTGTAGAAGCTATTTTCTATTCCTAGTTTGTTAAGTACTTTTATCATGAAACAGTGTTAGAGTTTGTCAAATGCTTTTTTATGCATCAATTGAGAAAATCATGTACTTTTTGTCTTTTACTGGTATTATTTATTTCTTCATATGGCTTCACATTTCTGTCTG